CACTCTTTCATATATGGATTCATTGTTAAGAAGACTTTTGATACAAGAGATCTAATACTTAGATCCACAGTCAACTCCATCATAACCCTCTATGTTACCAGGAGGATCCACTATTAAAAAGACTTTCGATACAAAAGATTTTATACTCAAATCAACTTGCCAACTTCATCATAAACTTCCATGTTATCAAGAGAACACTCCTCCATGTTATACTCAGATCCACCTGTCAACTCTATCATTATCGATGAACCGATCACTTGATCAAACCAACGACTCTGACTCTGATATCACTTGTTGTGCATTGAGGATGACACACAAGATGTTGTTCGCTTTGGACCTAAAAGCTTACAATTTTGCTTCTGAACCTCACCCAAAAGATCTCTAACTAATGAAGAGAACTATGCGTAAATAAACTCATGTGTTGGAACCATGGGAGACTTTATTTACATCTTAATTAATTCCTTGACATATATATATATATTCAACCCCCACTTTCCCTAGTAACCAGTTTTCCATGAAATTAATCGTATAGCATCCATCAATATGATTCCACATAAGTTGTCAATCATGGTATAGTACATGCATATAACACAGACAAGAGTGATGTATAGTCTGATATTGATTTGGATAATAGAGAGAAGAAAAAAAAAACTACGAACAGGGTGTTTAAAATAGAGAGTAACCAGAGAGAATATAACTTACTACTATAATGGCAACAATGGATTCATTAACCCATCGGTTTTCTTCAAGCAATTGACCAATGACCAAGCAGAGGCAGAGAACAGCCACAAAGAGTGATATGGGCACCACTTGTGCGTGATCATGAGCCAAATTCCTCGCTGCCTCAGGAATCAAATTCAGTGGTACCATACCCATGTGTTGTTCTCCAATTAATCGACTTCTAATAACGGTTAAGTTCACACCCACCTCACTATTATATATTTGTTTATAATAATAGCTACGAAGCTTACTTTGTTGATGAGAATCAAACGTCAGAGAATCACGAACTCAAAGGTTGTTGTTGTTTGCGGTTCCAATTTTAATAAATGTATATATATGTTGCTGAATCTGGGTGCACTGAAACAATCGAAAACAGAATCATACATGCCACGGATCAGAGCGTACGTGTAGCGGTGGCACCAAAGAAAGACACGTATACAATCTGCATGAAGATGTAACGTGGCACTCTCACGATCAAAATCAAGATAAGATCCTAAAGGCGAAGATTATTATGGTTACACAAATACTTTGTATACTTGGTTCTATGCTAAGTTACTCAAATTATCGTCTTATATATGTAGGATATTATTTAAATATAAAGATAATAATATTATTTTTATTATTTGAATTTATGTTTTTATTAGTTTAATTTTAAGATTAAGATAATATTTATATTTGAATTTTGTATCATACTCGATGAATGAAAATAGAATAAGTACTATTTGAAAAATATTTCTCTTAAAAAAACATCATGAGTCGTTAAATATAAATATGATTAGGGTTTTTTAATATTAATGTCTCATTTATTTAAATAGAAGTAAATTAATTATCGTGTCAATATTTTTTAATAATAAATTTATTAATCACAATATAAAAAAGTCTTTTAAATATTTGTATTATTTAAAATATTTAAATATTTTAGACTATTACATTATTTTTATTAAATCTTAATCATATGTGATCCTTAAATTTATTTAAAGGATATTACTATTAAGGATTATTTTGAGTGTATCTTGATTATATCAATTGCATGTTTTAGTCATCTTCAAATACTTTTATAATTGAAGAGTTTCTATTATCTATGTAAATTGTATGTATTGATGTCGACATTAATGATGTTACATTTATCAATGGAAAACATAATTATCTTTTATATTCTTTACTGTAATATCTTATATTCTAAAATAATAATATCATTAAAATTTTATTATATTATGGTTAGATTTATTATTTATTTTTATATGTGAAAAATTATTTTATTGTATTAATTTATTTAATATAATGGAATAAGGGGAAATGAGTCGAGTTGACTCAGTTTAACAATTTTTAGGAGAAGGGGTCAGATAGAGTTAATGTTACATTTAAAAAGGTAATATATTTCTAATGAAATACAATAAAAAAATAGAAGATAGAATAGGAAAGTAAATAATAAATATTTTTGAAAACTAAAATATCAATCATTTTTTTAAATCCTGTACAAAATCTTAAACGACTATGAATAAAAAACAGAGGAGGGAGTAACTAAAACCGGTAAGTTTTTAAAGACAAATATAAATAGGCTTCTTGGAATGCACTCCCAAAGTCTTAATCGTCCACTTGTTTCTTCAAACTTCAACGCACCTTTTAGGCTTTAATTTGTTCTCACTACTTGATGTTAACACCCTCGATGGAGATGACTTTGTATTTTCTCTCATTTAATTATATAAAATCAGGTATATTTTATGGTAAAGAACCTCTGTTCTTGACATTGAAAGTGCAACCAAAACTTCAACTTGTGCTACTTTATGTTTTTTAGTTCACAAATTCTATCCACATCTTATCCGTTATAAACGATAAAGCTAAGCCGATTTAGTCTAATTGAATTACAAAGGAAAAATTAAATTATTTGACTAATATTTGAATGGTATGAGGTGGAATAGTAATAAAAGTGGCTTTTAATTTGGAAATCAGTGATGATCGGTTGTTTGTTGGTTTAATTTGATGATGACAGGCCGTGCCAGTTTTCCTTTCAGAGATCGCACCTTCAAGAATACGTGGAGCATTGAATATACTGTTCCAGCTGAATATTACCCTTGGCATCCTCTTTGCCAACCTAGTCAACTATGCCACCAACAAGTAAGTTTCTTCCCTGCTTGCTCCCAATTTCACCCTCTCTCTATAAAACAAATTCAAACCCAGGTGAAAGCATCCCTAGTCGTAGTCAGCAAAATTGAATTAATGGTTATAGTGAGAGTGGTGGTAGTCAAAATTTTGAAAATAGATAGCCTGATTGAATTCCGGTGCATAGCAAACCAACACAATTATGACCTTTCTGTTACTCCTCTCACATACAAACCCAAAAGTCAAGCACATGCTTGCCTTCTCTGCTTAGTGTTTTGGGCTTTTATAAATGCTTCGAAGGCGTGGTGATAAGCAATTACTCATTCACATCTGCTAACAGAACAACTGTCTGCTCTGTTCTGACCCTTCCTTTAAGAAGCAGACGTGTTTGCTTCTGCTTAAAAAAAGCCGTTTTTGACGCAAAACCTATGCCTTATAGCTTCTCAAACAAGGGAACAAATGAAAAACCAAACACTTTCTTTTTTCATCTTTTAGTGGGAGCAGAAACAACAAATTATCATTTTCATGATTTCATCAAGTGCTTCTCGTGAGTCTCAGGTTGGAAACCCATCCTGCTATAAAGGCCCACATGGTCCAGACCCAGAAATGTTAACCTGCACAATGGTTGTATTAAACCAAAAAAAATAAATGTTTTCATAAACACTCACGTAACATTCATCCCTCTTCATGAACATTCACAAAATTTAATAAATCAATGATATACTTTGGATTAAAATGAAGATTTAGAATTATCCAGGTTAATAAGGTTTCAATTATTTAATGCACGTAACATTTTTACGGGACTCCATGAATTGTAAAAATAAATTCTTCTATGTAGAATTCAATGGTAAAGTGAAAGGTATTTGATGCTCATGCAAAATCATTGCCATTTTTTTTTTCTGGATAATGAATTCTAAAGCATCTACGAAGCATTTGTTTGATTTACCATGGACTCTTGTTGATTGTTGGTGATGGGAATGACAGAATAAAAGGTGGGTGGGGATGGAGGCTATCTCTGGGTTTGGGTGGTTTGCCAGCACTGCTCCTTACGTTGGGAGCTTTCTTGGTGGTGGACACCCCTAACAGTCTCATCGAGCGTGGTCACTTGGAAGAAGGAAAAGTTGTGTTGAGAAAGATTCGTGGCATTCACAACATTGAACCTGAGTTCTTGGACCTTGTCAACGCAAGTCGTGTGGCTAAAGAGGTCAAACACCCTTTCAGAAATATCCTCAAGCGCAGCAACAGACCCCAGCTACTCATTTCCATTGCCCTGCAGGTCACTGCTAAACATTTTTTTTTGTTCAATGGCTTCATTCCTAAACATTTACGTACAATACAATTTAGTCTTTGAATTCCAATTGGGTGTTTTAAAAAAACAGGTTTTTCAGCAATTCACGGGCATCAACGCCATAATGTTTTATGCCCCGGTTCTTTTCAACACATTGGGATTCAAGAACGACGCTTCTCTGACTTTAAAAACATATATATACTAATAATACAAAGTCTTATTTTATTGTATACTTTGCCTAATATAACTTGAAGAGTTGAAATATAATTGTTGTTTATGAGTAAAAACTTAATAAGCTGACGTGAGATCCTTGTGTCCCTTACTTGAAGACAAAATTAGGTTTTTGTTGTTTTTACCAAGTGTAGTGTGTAAATATTAATTACATACAAGGTGGCCGACATATCTGACCAACCTCAATGATTAAAATATAATTAAAGATAATGATGAATAAAAAGTTGTAGTAAAAACATCATATATTCCTTCCGGTGTGGGTCCCACAATTTTTTTAATTTATCATTATCTTTAATTATATTAATTATAGTTTCAATTAAAATAAAAATAATTTATGTTAATTACCGGGAGTACTTTTTGGTTTTTTTCTAAATTATTCTTAATTTAAATGTGATATAAATACATAAATATTGGAGTTAGAATTTTAAAAAATATTTTAGAGATAATTTTATTAAAAAAGATGTACTTGTATCAAAGTGTCTTCTATTCTCTCTCTTTATAATGTCGAGTCTCCTATTCACTTTATGATTTTAAGATGAGATGTACTTATAAAAGATACTCTGACGTTTAAGTAAGTGAGTTATATGAAGAGAGTGAATCATCTAGTGAACATGCAAATATATTGTGAACAATAAATTTATCTTGAAATACAATATTATTTATACTAACTTTAATGAGTTCAAATCAAATGGGCCTCAACCTAGGATTACCAATTAGATAATACATTGATAATTTGCTCCGTACTATAATTATATTGTAATCATCTTAATTACCTTTTCATAAAATGAAGGATCACCTATCTTGTTTGATGCTACAAGTGATTGGCAACCGAGGGCACCAAATAAAGGTATTCTAAGGGGTGTCGATTGAATGTTCCTCTACTTGTGAGGGTATTTTGATGTCTGAGGATGCTGAATGAACATTCACAGACTTATGAAAGTGTCTTAGTGTCTGAGGTTGTCGAATGACTGTATTTGGACTCATGAGAGTACTTTAGTGTCCGAGATTGTCGAACAGATATATCTAAATTCACAAGAGTCTTTCAATGTATGAGGTTGATGAATGAGCATACCTAGACTTATGAACAAATGTACCTAAATTTACAAGAGTGCTTCAGTGTCTGATACTAGACATATTTAGATAAAGGTGCTTTGATATCCTAAATTACTGAATAATTTTGTAACTAAATGGTCTATCCATAAGATAAAATTAATTAATATATAAATATATTTTTTTAATATGAATTATTATGCTTTAATGCAAGGCAATTATATACTCCCTCCATTTTTTATTCATAGTCTTTTGTCAGAATTTGTCATTTTTTTTCATTGTCATTTTACTAAAATCAATGACTTATTAATTTTTTTCTTCTCATTTTTACCCTTGATAATTAATGTATGTTTACTGAATAATGTGCCTATTTATTTCTAATGTCTATCTATTTTTTCTCCAACTACCTATGTAAAGTTAATGTTACATTTAAAAAGGTAATATATTTCTAATGAAATACAATAAAAAAATAGAAGATAGAATAGGAAAGTAAATAATAAATATTTTTGAAAACTAAAATATCAATCATTTTTTTAAATCCTGTACAAAATCTTAAACGACTATGAATAAAAAACAGAGGAGGGAGTAACTAAATTTTTTATTGTTGTCATAGACAACAAATGTTGTAGTGCTTATCTGCCTCATTTTGTGTTCTAAAGGCTTGAGTGAGAGAAGGAAGAGAGGGAAGCAACTTTGAGGATAAGTGTTCAGAATTATCTCAAACTGCACCAGACAATTCTTATCATCACAATAAGGTAGGGGGAATGAGTTAATTCATGTGTGGGATTACAAGAAAAGATGGGTAGCGAGAGCAATCTCTAAATTTTTAGGATTTTCTATTTCTGTTCTGATGGTGTAATTAACAATCCAGCTAGGTTTTATATTGAATTGAGAATGCATTTATTGTATCGTTTGGTAAAATTGATGGTTTGATAGATAATTGAATTCATTGGAATGTCTTTGTGGGTTAGGGATCTTGAGCAATTGGGATATTGTTAATTGGTATATGAATTCATGAATTAATATTGTAAGATGTGTTTTTGTAAAGATAAGTGTTTCTGACCGATTGAATTAGTAAAAAGATGATTACATGATTGTTTATAAATTTTGGTAATGTCATGTTCGTGTTGCGTTTCTGGAAAATGCGTTTGGCGCTAGGCTTGAGTCCTTGGCACCAGGCTTGCATTCATACTGATGAATGTAAAGCTCAGAAAGGGTTAAGCCGAGCGTGACCACTTTGCGGAGTTTCTGTTTGGCCTTAGTGCCAGGCGTGACTCCCTAACGCTGGGTGTGAGAGAGATATGAGGCTCTTTGTTTGCTCTTAGTGTCGGGTGAAGTTATATTAAGCTGAGCATGAAAATGTTGTGTGCTCTTTGTTGTGGCTTAAGGTCAGGTGCGGTTTAGTGAGGCTCGATGCAGAATATGAATATATTATATATTGATGAATTTGATGAAGATTGTGAATTATATGATGCCCATTGATGACTATTGTATGATTAAGTATGAATGATGTGTAGTTGGATGAGTTGATGTACAAATGTGGTTGAATGTGGCTTATTATTAAGTGGGCATTGGCATGGATAAAGATGATGAATGGATGAGGTGACATGACATGAGCATGGGTGCATGTTGCATACACATTTATGTTGGCCATAAGTGGTGTTTAAGAGGGGATGCATATTTATACACTAGCCATAAGTGGTGATTACAAGTGTGACACCGATCATAAGTGATATAAATGGTGTGACCATGCGTGGTGGTGCCTAAGGAGATTAATGAAGTCCGCCCATTATGCGATGTTCTAAGTTGATGCTTCTTAGGAGGTTGTATTGCATATGCATTGACATGAGCACAAGCATGATGCATGAGTTGTATTCTGATGTAGTTGTGGTGATATTAGTTGATGGATTTATGAATTAATAACATTATCGTGATTGGTTATTATTGTGAATTGTACACGGGTTGATCTTATGATTAGGTGGAATTATTTTCTTGAATTGTATACATGATTGACTATTTTTCTCACCCGTATACATTATGGTTTTATTTTAGGTAATGGTGTAAGTGATGAGGTCAGCACTCAATGTGCCGAGAACTAAAGCGATGTGTTTGCTCTGATAATGTGACATCGGAGTAACGAGATTAGAATAGGAATTTATATTTCAAATTGATTTACTACTTCCTTCTTGTTTAAACATGATTGATGACTTTATGTCTTATAATTATTTTCATTTGATTGGATGTTCAAAGGTGAATTACATGCGAACCTATTTTACTCAAGTCATAAATGAATTTCTTCTTTATTTTAATTGCTTTATATGTTGGGGTAGAACAGGTGTTGCATTTACCATCATTCAACATGTAATACTATTACATTTACAATATATTTAAGCCGCAATGTAGAAAAATGGATATAATTGGTTGGGAATACCTTCCTCTTTATACTTTAATGCTTGATATATAAATTTTTTATACTATTAAGTAACATTTTGACAATTAGTCTAATATTGAAAATAAATGTAAATAATATGATTTTGATGTAGTACTTTAATTTTATATAAATAGTGCATTAATATGTTATGTTATACAATTTTTTCTTACATGATATATTTAAAATTATAATTCTTTTAAATATAATTATATAAAAAACTTAATGAATTGTATAAAATGGCTCGTACATCACACAAATTGCCTATCTAATTGTGACAAAGATACCACACTCCACATAGTCACTAATCATCCTATCTATCCTATCCTAAACCCTAAACCCTAAACCCTAAACCCTAAACAAACAAAACATTTATATATCAATTGCCATGTAGTATAAGAAAGGGGCACAGTGGAAGAAGTTGTTGCAACTACCTCTAGCCTACAATGCAAAAATTGCATACTATACTTGTTTACTAAAGACACTTGCCCAAACTTTTCTATCATTACAATTCCAAGTTGAGCATAATGGATATATTTCAACTCTCCACTTGAGGAGGGGTATTTGACAAGTATCTTCAATCTAGCATAAGGGTGTCATGTCTTTAGGAGGGATATTTGACAAGTATCTTTAATCTAGCACAAGTTGTTTTTAAGAGAATTTAAATTTTTGTAGGCATAAAAGTGTTAAACTACATCATTGTGGCATTCAATCAATCTTCCAAGTTAAATCAAAAGAATAAATTCTTTGAATGCAATCAACCAATTAATCTGATTTTTTTTGTAGTTTAAGTAAATTTAATTTTTTTGTTGGCAAAGAAATGTTAAACTACAATGTATTTGAGACATAACTAGTAACTTGCAATGTAGAAAACACTTAGCTATCAAAATTTGATAGACAACTACATTCCCATATTAATTTTGAGTTATTAGGTACATTAAATATTTAAGTCCATGATTATTTTCTTTTAATATTAAATACACATTTTCTCTTAATGTAGAGAAAGGTAAGGTGGAGACTTGAACATAAGAATGACATAAAATAATTTTCACTTGAAAGTCTCTTATAGGCTTTTTGAAATGTTCATGGAAGCCAGAAAAAAAAAACTTGAATGGATGTTTAATATAGTGTTGAACAATTTATTAACTAAATGGAATCAATAACTTAATTTTTGCACAAAGTGTGCATAGGCCTAGAAAAATTGAGCATCCGAGAAGGGTGAGAGCCTGCACACAGGTGGCTCAATCAACATTCACAAGCACGTCATTCGCATGGTATATACATTCTAGGAGTTGGGTTGTATGTTGTATATGTTGATGAGGTATTTCACCAGACTCATACGAAAGAGTACTGGTCATTTTATGGATGAAAAATCTAAGCAGACTTATGTGAATTTTGTTACTTAATTTTTCTTTTCATTTTAATCAACTTTACTATATATTATAAAATAACATCTCTATTTTTGAATGAC